TTGACACTTCTTCCTTATTGTCCTAAATTGAGCATTTATTGTGAAAGCCCATGAAAGGCAGGCATTCAGAGCACCAATCTGAACTGGAATTGTGTCATTGCTAAACCGCCTATTTCATTGTGCGATTGACATTTACTTCATTGTGGTAAGATTGTCATGATGATAGTTTAATTGTGATTATTAAAACTGGTCTACGGCCTTTTCAATGACAGTAATTGCACTGACAGTTATTGTAAGCTTCAGCCTTTGTGTTATATTTCTGTATGTGTTCATTTAGTCTCATTGTTTGGCTTAAAAAACTAACACTCCCACAGATGTCTGAGACTGAGAGTCAAGTCAATTAAGAATCAAGCTGTGTTGTTGGCTGAACACCTGTTCCACTTTTGTGCACTATTTAAGCTGTGATAAATGTCTTTGTGAAGCTGCCACCAAGAAGATTATCCAACATTTTACTTTAATTTACGAGCTGTTATTTAAGAGGGAACGGAAAGCAGAAGTGGGACAGAGCGTTTAAACAGTAATGAGAGTCTACTTAACTTTTATTTTCAGGAAGCGGCCTGTGGCAGATCAGAAAACGCTCTTCAAATTTTACTATGAGCATATGTTGTTTGCAGACAAGCACAACAGGTCAGCCACAAAAACCATGTAGAACCACGGCTCTTCCTCCAAGATTGTGTTTGCATTTGCTTGAACCACCTAGGGACATACTGTACAAAAGTATTACTCTTTATAGGTCTTACCAGATCCGTAAAGATTCAAATGTTAGTGGAGAATGAATTATGTTATTGTTATTGAGGCTTGTAGTTTAAACATTAAAGGCTTAAGCAAAAAGTTGGTTGTTGTAGCGCCCCCCCAACAGGACAAATTATACCAGCCTAAACACTTTCTTTAATCTTCATCAATACACCCTCCAAGTATGAAGTCACTAGGGTTAATAGTGTTTGAAATGTGCTTTTAGAGTATACGTGCAGACAGACAGAAATTCTTCCTTTATATTAACATTCCCCTCTATTCCCCAAATGTCATAGCATTAATACGATCAGACCATTACTCCAGATAACAGTGGCTCCAATAGGATGGTGAGAGCAGGCTCTCTGGTGCAGCGGATGCAGGCTGTCGTTTTAATGTCTGCTTCCCGACTTTCATATAACCGGTGTCCTCGAATGACCCTGAATGCAGCAGTCTGAGTTCAGAGCTGAACTGGAGTGAACCGACGGTATTATGTGTCTGATATTTTGTCTCTCATACATCTATTCCCTCCAGTCATCCCTCCAGTCATCCAACAGTAGTACAAGAGCAGTTCCAGCCCTCCTACAGACGACAGATATAGAACAAATACATTTTCAAAGACCGCTTGTAGAAAGTGCTCTCTACATGTTTGATTTAACACAACCCAAAGAACCGGCATTTAACCAGAACAACATCCTGAGGATGAGATCACATAACTGAATTAAACTACATTTTTGTTCAAACCAAGGTGAAAAGTAAACAGTGTCAGCGTTTTTATAATTACTGAAAGTCACATTGTGATGCAGAGCTTCCTAACAAAGCCCACGTCAACTCAGAAGTGTGCTGTATTTGTTAGGTGTGTGTGTGTGAATACCACTGATAGCCTCCCGACTCAACGTCCAACACCTTTGAGCTGCACTGAGCATGTCAACCTTAATATCTGTTTCCCTATAACAATGTTACACCTTCACCAAAGCCCCCTTTCACATGCAAATCTGAGCATACCAAGAAAGTATCCTCATGTTGACCTGACAGCCTCCTTGTACAAAGACTTGTTAATGTCCAAATGAGCTGATTTGTGAACAGAGGAGGTGATTGGCCGGAGCATTGATAAGCAAGAGGAAGTGTTAATGGCTTTGGTTTATTGGAAAAAGTTGGTCGCTCCATTATACTCTTTTCCTCTCGCCCTCTGTGTGTGTATTGCTTTTCATTCTCGTGTTGGTGTGAAATGTAAATCCTAATGCATATTGGAATGTCATTAAAGCAACAATATAGGCTAAGAGGACGTGGAGTTAGTGCTGCACACTCTTACTAATAAAGCACCATTCTTTTTTTTTTTTTTCAACAAAAAAAGTTTATTGTACACAAATTAAGGAATATGATGTCCGAATCATAGGGCTACTCTTTGTTCTGATTAATGAAATTAATGCATGTTTTGCTTTTCGCTGTGTGATTGTGTGTGATATATCAACTGGGATTGTTGTCAAGCAAATAGTCAACACGTGACTGCAGCTTGTCCTGAATGCATATGGAAGTGAATCTCGGTTATTAAGAGAGGAGATCGATTGTAGGTATGAATTCAGATCAGGATTTTTTTTTTTAACCGATTAATCGCGCAGCCCGACTGTGAGTGTGATATTGCTTTTAACAGATCATCGATCAACATAGAGAAAACAGTAAAAGTCCGGCCGCTGGTCGCCACTACTGTCCACTTATAATGTAGTCACACACAACTTCTGCCCGATCCTTTCATGACGTAATCGTCAAGGTTTTACCCGACAATCGCCGAGCAGATCGGATCTTTATACGACTTGCAGAAGTAATAAACAAGATAATCTGGGAGGATCATCGGTTCAGAGCAGCCTCGAGTCGGAAACGACCCCACGATTGTCAGGAAGGAGGACCCCAAATCAGTCTGAGCCAGGCTTAAGTCTTCAATGTTTTTTAAAATCAATTTATATAAAAAACATTTGCTGATTCTTCTTGCATATTACATTTAGATTTCTTGTGTTTGTTGTCGTTCATGATGGTTAATGAAGAGTCTCTGAGTTTCAAAACTGTTGTTCGGATGGATGAAAAAAGCTATTTGAGGTCATTACTTTTGCTTCTAGGAAATTAAAAAAATATGCTTAACTATGTTTACACTTATTATCAAATTAATCTTCAAATCACGTTTGCAGGCTTAGCGTGCATGTTGAGCTTTCTCTGCGCAGGAAACTGCTGGATATGAGACGCTAACATCTGTCTGTTGTGTTGTCCTCGGAGCCTCTGACATCTTTGGGTCGTTTTATGTTTGTTCAGACGGTTTGTGTTCTCACACCTGTTATAGGGACTCTTAAAACAAGCAGAGGAAACACTCCTGAGTTATCTTTAGCTCGGCTCGGTGTGAACATGACCTCAAATCAACCCCACCACAGCGGCACACATAAAACATTACATCACAGAGCAGTCGCCGGGCGTCATGTGTCGATAACATCTGTGTGAAGCTCATCGGCGTGTGACGGTGCTGTAACAGGCGGCGGTACTGTGTGTGTGTGTGTGTGTGTGTGTGTGTGTGTGTGTGTGTGTGTGTGTGTGTGTGTGTGTGTGTGTGTGTGTGTGTGTGTGTGTGTGTGTGTGTGTGTGTGTGTGTGTGTGTGTGTGTGTGTGTGTGTGTGTGTGTGTGTGTGTGTGTGTGTGTGTGTGTGTGTGTGTGTGTGTGTGTGTGTGTGTGTGTGTGTGTGTGTGTCCTCAGCAGCCCCCTGCCCTCCCCCCACCACCACAACATTTCATCTCTGTCGTCTAACTGGGCTAATTTCACGGTCTGATGAGCACACAGAGGCGGGCTGGCAGACTCACCGCTGTCACCGGAGACTTAAAAGGCTGTGTGTGTGTGTGTGTGTGTGTGTGTTTGGAGGAAGTTTAAAAACGGAGGTGTGTGCTCGCCCGGTGTTCCCTCTCTCATCGTGACTGGAGTGGTCGGACTCCTACAATTAAGCCGTCGTGATTCAGACAGAGTGACGAGTCAGCTGCTGCCTCCGCGGAGGAGAGCTACAACTTTCAGGAACACTGTAGAGGCTTGAACTCGTGTGGTTAAGTGCTGATGCGTACTTTAAGTTGCTCTTTCCTGCCAAGCACTCGTCGCTGTGGCATTTGGCTCGTCACTCACACGGTGTGGGTGGTTAAGTAGTGAAGTATTTATACCTCTGAGTTTTAAATGGCAGATTGACAGAATGCTGGTTTCTTTTTTTTAAGATTGTCAAGAGAGATCTAACCAAATTTAGAGCTGTTGATGAAAGAATTAGTCCAATACACCTGGAAATCATTGTCCTCCAGCATCAGGTGACAACAGATCATCAGATAATGATGCATATTTTATGAAGAGCAGTGAACTTATAGTTCATATTATTTTTTTTTTTATTCACCTATTCTTCTTATTTCTACATTTTGAATTAACAAAGGACACTTTCCGAATTTCTGATATTTTTTAACCAATCAGAATGAAAAATGATGCCATTTGGACCTCAGACTGTACAAAACGTGACAGAACAAAGACACAAAATGAAAACAAACATGTTTTGAGACAATATTTTTTTCAGGCACACATTCGCGACCCGCTGAAAATGGCCCCCCGCGACCCACTTTTGGGTCCCGACCCACCCGTTAAGAAACACTGATCTAGAGGATTCCACAGTTTCACTCCGTCATTGTCTGAATGACTTTTCTAACGTCCTGTTTACAGACATTAAGAAATTAAGGAAAGGGAAACTAAATACATTTCATATTATAATTTATATTACTCTGCTCGAGCAAGGTGTCTTAAATACAGATAATTAACATCAACGGTGTTTCTCAATCTGGTGTCTCAGAATCACACAACAGACTCTCATGTCATTGGTTAAATCATAAATGAAAACAGATGATACCAAGTGGCTGGTTTAAGTTTACTGCATAGACACTCAGAGTGCAGGAGAATGTTTGGGTTGCTTGGCAACAGTATGTTCATTTGTCTGTCATCTGTTGTTGATATCACTTGTTGTTAGTACTTTTTACCACTACTATTTGCATCTTGTATAACTATTGTATCAAACTGGAGATCATCATGATATACTCGCTCACTGCAGCCTTGTGCCTACGACTGAATCACGGCCGTGCTGATATTCAGTACGACATCACACCTCTCCTGTGACAATGCTAAATTATATTTTTAGAAATTTCCACGCTTAAAATGTCTTTCTTTGAGATTTCAGAGCCCATCTGTTAAAACAGTCTCTCTTCCATCTCTGTTCCAGGCTCCAATGAGAGGCTCTCCATGATGAGGAGCTAACACTGTCGGCCGCACAACCGCAGGAACAGACGTGGCTGCTGCTCCACCCACAGTCCACGCATGGCGGTATTAGGGGTAAGAACCACGACACTGCAGTTCACTTTAAGTTTCTTTATCACATCTGGAAATCGCAGAGGAACAGTGAGGTGTTTTCTGGGCTTTGAGAACAAAGGGAAAATGTTTTACCAACGGCTTGATACATTTAATGGACTCTGGTCGATACTGTGATGTATCTGTCTGGACTGTTATCTTCAGTAAAGAGTCTTCTCTTGATGCACAGACTAGATGTTGATGCTGCAGTGAGAAACATGTTACTGAGGAATTATAAATAAGTAAATGGGGAGTTTGAAAATATAAATTGAAAGGCACTGGTACCCTATAGTGGATAGTCTGCGCGCCCCATGTTAGGAGGCTATAATCCTCAAAAAGGACTTCCAAGGTACGGAGCTATATAAATTGATAAATACTGATCTTGGAAACTTGAACCTTCTTCCATTTCTACATCATAATGTAATGTTTTTTAACAAAGAGCACAATTGTCTCATTGTCCCATTTTAATATATCTTATAACACAAAGAAAACTGAATATTTTTCTTTCAACATCAGAAAAGTAACATCTTCAAATAGCTTGTTTCGTTTAACCCATGCACACTACAAACCAAAGATATTAGTTTGCTACACTAGAAGAGAAAAATAACAGGAAAATCTTCATCATTATCATTTCTGCCTGAAGAATTATATAATCAAAGGTGGCTCTGGGTTATTGTTGTGTGTGTGTAAAGTAACCCACCAGTGTGTCTGACAGTAGCAGCACTAGCTAATGCATTGTTTGTTACTGAGAAGCGAAAAAAAGTAGGCCTGTCCTCTAAGAAGTTGTTTTTATTCGATTCCTACAAAGCTAAAACTTTAATAATAGAGCTGCAGTCTGCAAACACAATGACTGAAAATATTCTGTGTTTGTTCATATCTTTCTTGTCATTGCTATAATAACAATGAAAAACAGTTTAGCTGCGCGTCATCAGTGGCAGTAATTCTTCTTCTTTTGTCAACACACTTTCCCTCTTTGAGAATTCAGTGAGAGTTTTGGATCGGGCTGGAGCCTCTAAATGACGGATGTCGGCTTTCTCAGTGTCTAACTCACCAGACTAAACCAGCTATTAGTGGCTGTGAGTGGCTGTTGGCTGTAATTAATCTGACCATTTTCGCCGTCTGTGTTAGACTGGCAGTCAAGATTTGTTTTTTTTCTTCTGGACCACAAATACTGTGTAGTTACTGTAGTTTCTGATGAGTTGTTCTGGTATTTTAAAGCCTGTGTTCCGTTGTGCAATCTTCAATCTGTAATCAGATATTTATTCAGAGTGTGAAAACATTAGAGAGTTTCACTTTAAAGATCTGTTTGTAAAGGAGTGAGATGAATTTTAAACAAGAGACAGCCAATAGAGTGCTTCTTTTGAAACTACCAGACTCAAACGAGAAAAAAAAAAATCATTTTAACCTTCAACACGCGTGTGGTGCCGGATAGCCGAGTGGTTATGACGTGCGCCTCATGTACAGAGACTATAGTCCTTGTTGCATCGACCGTGTGTACGAATCTGCCCTTTGCTGCATGTCACCCCCCACTCTCTCCTCCCAACATTTCCTGTCTCTCTTCAGCTCTCCACCATTAAAGGCAAAAAAAAAAAAAAGCCTAAAAAAACATTAACCACAAAAAAAAGTTGCAACACATTGGACTTTGCTTGTCTGTCTAAACCGTTTTTTTTTTGTCTGTTTTTCTCAGATATTGTGTCAGGTCGGCACTTAACGTTTCAAGCAAGTCCACAAACAAAATGATCAATGCAGAGGTACTCCATTAACTCCTGTGTTCTGTTTGTCAATAGAGTCTGGGGGCTTTAAAAAGAAGATTGAGTTAGCTGTTTCTCGTATAAAAAAAAAAGCATTGTGAAATAAATGAGGGACCTCTTTATGAAGGAAATCTTTCTGTGATGTTGTTGTCAATAATCAGAGCTTTTCAGTGGCGAACACGTTGTGAGCCTCAGAGTCATTTTGACCCCTAAATATCTAGAAAACAGGCACAGGTTTAAAGACATAACTCATTTTGCATGCTAACAAATATGCTAACAAAGCAGTTTTTCATATTAAACTATTGAATCTTTAAACGAGTGAAAGGTAATTACTTATTGTATGAAACATGTGCTGAAGAAGAGACATTCAGTCAGTCTGTTACCCTAAAATCCTGAAAAGCAGAGTGCTGCTGCTGGGCGGTATGATTTGACAGATGCCGGAGACGGAAGCAGTCAGGTTTGAAGCGTTTGATTTGAAAAACATAAAAAAAAAAAAGGTGAATATATGGTCTGACTCTGACATAAAGATATCTTTAATGTAAAAAAGGAGGCAGAGAGAGAGCTGCAGGAGTGAAGTGTGAGCAGCCTCCTCAGGGCGTCCGTCTGTACTCAGGCTCATAACGGAGACTGAACGCTTTCATCACAAGAGAACTTCTTTTTTAGAAATGCAGCGCAGACAATCTCTCTGAGTTTCTTTTTAAGAGCGCTCCCTGCCAGAGATGAACAGATATTCTCTGTATGATGCACCTCATAAACCAGTCTGTCAGTAAGCAGCACACAGGACTTACTTTGGAGCACAAGACCCTTAGACAGCTTGCGTTTACCATCACCTGTGACATGATGTTACATAACATTTTAGGGCACTCCTACTTTAATTTCAGTCACCTACGGTCATTAAGGATAACAAAGGGTGATTAAAATGCTGGGAGGAGAGAGTAGGGGATGACATGCTGTAAAGATTCCAACCCACAGCTGCTTCAATGAGGACTATAGTCTATGTATCAATTAATCCTTATTTCTGTGGCACCAATTAAGCATTTAGACGCTTTACAGACGAGCATGTAAAAGACCATTGAGACCATGAGACCACCATGTACTCATTGTTTATAAGATGGGATAATATGCAGGAAGGATTTCTCCTTTGTATTCCTCACGTTCCTGTTGTCCACTCTTCCTCGCTGAGGTGGAGGTCGGAGACTCGAGAGCCCGGCTTCTGCTGCCAGGACAAGGCCTCCTGAGCTTCTAACCGAGAAACATCCGGCGCCCCCAATTACTGATTGTTTTCAATAAATCCAAATACATTTTTAGTTGTTTGAGGGGTAAATGTTTTTTTCAACCCTGAGTGGTGTGTGCATACAAAGCTGCGTCATCACAAAGGGGAGGCCTTGTTGTATCCTGACAGAGGCTTAAAGAGAGGTTAACCCCGGGGAGAAAAGAGCTACAGTTTGCTCTTTCAGCTGGAACACATGTGAAATATAATGCAGACATTGATGTAATAGTACCTTCTGTCTCAACTTAGCCCATCCGTACACAGTCACAAGGCTTTGAAGTAGGTTACAATAATTGAAAAGACATAATCACAATAAAATGGGTAATGATAAAAGGGACACACAGAAATCAGAAATATAGTTAAGTTAGTGGAGTATGAGCTGAGTGTTCTTGTCTCCTTGTTCTGCTCTGTGAGAACAGAGAGGACTCCCTGTGACTTCACACCGTGAAGACAAAGTTAGTCGTTCAGTTACTCAACACACTCCAGTGCTGCAAACCTCTGCTTTCATCATCGTTCCCGTGTCCTCCTTTAGAAAGAATGAATCACCGGCTGAGCTTCATGACTCTGCCTTGTTAGCCTGCTCGTCTGACACTGATCGTGCAGGTTCATGTTCAACTGAGGACTTGATCTTCTTAGGATGATCTCGTTAACGCTTTTTTCAATTATTTACGGTACTTTGTTTGTGACCTGCTGTATTTATGATTAGCGCTAGGCCTACACGAGGAAAATCATCAGTGTTGTTCAAAGATGTGACGAGCATATGTGGTGCCGTAATGTCTGATGTCTGAAAGAGGATTTGAGCTGAAACCGTTTTTTTTTTTTTGTCAGTACCTGATTGTGGAAACAAGTTCTCACCTCATCGAAATGATTTAAAGAAGCTGAAGTGCATCGTCCACCACAAAGTCTTCATCAGGCAAATATTCCTCACTCTTCTCTCCGTCTGCCAGTCTTCACCAATTTGACAATAACTGAGTAGTAGTCGACTGCTCGCTGCTGCTCCAACAGTGGATTCAGAGCTTCATCTGATTGGTGAAAGGTTCACTTGGGCATGTGTGGATGTCTGTGCATGCATGGTAAACAGATTCTTCTCATTGGTTGCGATAAATAAAAAGTATTTTGCAAGATGATGAAATGGTAGTTTATTGTGCAGCCTTAAATTGCGGCCGCAGACAAATAGAATCTGTCTTTTTAGTGGAGATGTTGTCATCTCTGGTTGGAGTGTGATGTGGTTACATAAAGAGACGAGCAGTGTAAGGAAAGCAACTTCAAACAGACTAGCCGGGCTGCATTGCATTTAAAAATGCATCCTTAAAAATATGAGCATGATTAGAAGGTAAAACACCGTAGGTGTAATGATTGTGGTTGGGAGGAGGGCAGTAATGAAAAAAGGACACATGGGTACAATAAGACCAGACGCAGAACACACTGAGCAAAGCTGGTGGATGAAAAGCTGCGTGACATCCAGCCAAATGTTCCTTCTTGTGATTAGAGGTTCATCGCTTTGTTTTCTGCAGCAGCTCTCCTTGGTGAATGTTAGAGATGAAGCACTTCTTGAAAATGGCTTCTCTTTCTGTTGTAACAGGTGTTACTGCAGGATTTTAAAGGTTATTGTATTTGCATTGTGGTGTGTTTATAGAGCATTCATCTTTCTATTGAAGAATTGAATCTATATTTACTTTTCTTTAAAGTCATTCTATCCCCTGTGAACATTGATTTTGTACTTTTTCTTAGTTTACCAAACTATGACTCAATTATTGGTCACAAACAAATTATGTTCTTTCTGATTTGCTCCTTCAAAGGTCAAATTTCATAAATCAAAACTTGGGCACCTGCTCACAGCAGCTGTAAACTGAATCAAAGCTCATTTTACAGGAAGGAGAGAGAACGATCTGCTCGCCTCTTCTTCTTGCCAACACGAGGCACATCAGTCAGGACTGAAGCTACAGGTCTGGGATTGCTGGTGTTTATAATCTGAAGTTGAGTGTTAGTGGGGCTATCAGGTGGGGGAGAAAAATTGATACATCATAGCAATTGTGATATTTTGCGTGCCGTGCCATATCGTCTCATGGCTGCAAAGTATCGATATTCCTTTTATATTCATAGCAAATGAAGGGGTACTGAAGGGGTTGCACAATTCATTTGAACATGTCGCATTGTTAAAAGTTAAGTTGGATTAGACTGAAATACTAACAGTTCAGATTGTGAGGTGCATGCAGCCTTTTACGGAGTTTGACTTTGATCACAGCGTCGTCATTCTGTGGGCTCGACTCTCATTGTGTAGAAATTAAAAGACTGAAGTGAGATGAACAGACTGAGAATGTTTTCTTATTTGACAGAACAGTTCTTGATTTAGTTTCATGTTGTGGAATTAGTAACCAGTTTAAAAAAAAGTTAAATCGCAACATACTGTATCACAATTCTCTGCATGTTGCAAAATGTTTAAAACTGCAATAATAAGTACGGTGATAAAATCGTATCTTGGGGCTTCTGGTGAGTCCCACCCCTAGCTATCAGTCACATTATTGATGCTTTTTTATCACACATTAGAAATGTATTTAATGAAGGGTATGCAGCTGCATGTGGCAAACTTCCCCTTCTAATCTTATCTGAACATGAACCCAAACGGCTTCCTGCTTCAGAGGTTAAAGAAATGTTACTTCTTTTGTGTCTGTGCTTTCATATAGCAAAGGCACATTTGTCTGCTATCTTCGCCCGTCTTTGTTTTAGAATCATCTATGATGTCATTAAACTTGCCCTTTTAGCTACTGGACTGTAATTGTGGAGCAGGCCGCGATGAGTACAGTGAGCAGGAAGTGGGACATGATGTCGCCCGCTGGCTGGTGGGGCAGATTAGTGGATGAAGGGATTAAAACTAAAACCTTTTTGGTGAAAGGATTCCCCTGGTGCTCCCTTGATAGTCTGCCTTTTAGTGGACGTAGAGAAGAATGAAAGTGATGCATTTCATGGTCACATTTTTTTTTTAACAATGGCAGAGAAGACAACAAGAACAACGAGCATATTTATTTGTCAATGGTATGCCAATATATTAATTTAGGCAGAAAATCTATTGTTTTGTTGTCTTTGCATTCTTTAGTATGAACACAGCAGTTCCAGTGTTCAAGGCTCATTCAGTCATTTTTCTCCTGTCAAAACGTTGACAGTCTCTGTGAGTCTGAAAAGTGGGAGAGATGTTCTTTTAATTTTTTTAATTAAACACTACAATATGAATAACAAACATGGTACAGTACATAAAGAAAACTATGAAAGCAGGTGTGGTGTAATAGAAACCAATAAATGACTTGGCTTATACGGCCCTGGCTGAGTTGGAAGAGTCAGTCAGCAACCTGAAGGTTGTGGGTTCGATCCCCAGCTCCTGTAGCCACATGTCAGATGTGTCCTTAACCCTGAATTTCTCCCTCTGCTTGTCTACATAGTTCACACAGGAGGCCAATTTATTCTTGACATTCATATTATTTACCACTGACCGGGTTAGGGTTTGACCGCGCACTACGTACTGCGGCCTGTGCTCAATCTCTGTGCCACTCCAAAAGAATCCAAAGTGACTTCAGTTTCTGCTGTGCTCCTCGATTTATCCACCGCACTTTCTCGTTTGGAGCCCCAAATGCAAAAACATTTTTTTCTCTTGTCATATTTGGTTTCCTCCACTGGCCATCACAGCTTTGCTTGTCAACCATTTGATTTGTACATCTTCATTTAAATAATCCAAAAATCAGAGACTTCCTCATAAGAGAACTCCCAGTGTACCACGAGAGGGATCCTGCGTACCTCCAGTGCTACTCGTATCTCAGTTTGACAGTGAATGGTGTAGACAAGTGCTTTGAGGAGCTTGTGAAGCTGCTGAACACTGTGTGGGACAAAGGATGTGGTGCCTCCTCGTTTAGTCTGCATCCTGCACATGTTGTACCTTTTTACTAAGAGAGTCAGTGCATTCAGACCAAAGGTGGGTCTGATAAGAACCTGTGAGGTAAATTCAAGGTGCACTGATCACTCACTATTTTAACAACCCGCTCTGCAGAATATAACAAGAGTTGCTGCTGGATGCTGTTACGTCTGCTTGTTTGAATGTTTAACATCGAGTTCTAATCCTTCATTTTGTTCCTCTGTTTTCTGCAGAACCCCGACATGCTGACGAGGAAGATAAAGCTGTGTCACATCAACGCCCACATCACATGTCGTCTGTGTGAGGGCTACTTGATCGACGCCACCACCGTCACCGAGTGCTTACACACATGTAGGTCCCCCTCACACTAAAACTCTTGTCGTCCTACGTCTTGTTTTCCTTCTTCCTGTCAGCTGTTTTCTTGTTTTTATCTCCTCTCTCTTTGTTTATTTGACACCTCGGCTGTGTTTGTCTCCGGGGGGGATTTCCACGTTCAAAAGGTGTTGCTCTCAGGATTTATCCCTGATGGGAAGAATCCTGGAGGCGGAGTGATGCCTCTGTGATCCGTGCAGCCTTGTTTTGGTGCTTTGTTTTGACTTACAGCACCACCCTCTCTGTATCATCCGTCACAGCAGCAGAGTTGAAGTGCCCGACGTCTCTGTTGGTGGGGTCGAGGGAGTTTCAGGCCCTTCAACCCTGAATCATCATGTGTCTCTGATTTTATTTATTTATATCTTCATATCAGCCATCAAACAAGCTTTAGCTATCATAGTGTAAATGTCATGGAAATGATCTTTGAGTCTTTAAACCTGAAGTAGACACACTCTGGCTGTCAGCGTCAGGTTATGTTTGCATAAAGAAGCATAATAAAGTCTGCATGTTCAGTGACAGTCATAACAGTCTGGTAAAAGCAGTCACTACCATTCAAACATCTGAAGCCTCAACGCTCGTTAAGTTCTCTTCAAAACACACCATGAGTTTCAGGTTACATCTTAAAATATAAACAGAGAGGAAATCACATGAAACAGCCGCTCAGTTTGTGCAAATCAGAACTTAAAATGGAAAGCCTCAATGAGCCCTCATGGAGCACATTTTCTGTTTTTATAAACCAAACATTTAATAAACATTATTATCAGAACATTAACACAACAATTGGAGTGTTGAAATGGGTTTCCAAAGTTGAATCTGCTGCCAATTTCATGAGAGAGCAAGTCATTGAAGCCTGTTAAGCTTTTCATTCAAAAGTCCTTCTGTGCTTTCATTTCTGAACATCTTTAGAGATTAATTAAATCATTAAAACTTGTTTTTTTTTGCTCCTTTTTTAGGAGCTACAAAGCTGTTTACACAATCGAGAAATGGAAAAGGGAAATAAATACTATTCATGAGTGTATCAGCAAATTAAACGGCAACCAAAACTATGAAAGTTTAACTTGCTTTCATTGATGGCTTCTCCGCCTTAAATAGTATTTTCTTGTTGAAACAAAACCGGTCTGTAAACATGTTTATTTCTGCTTTTAAAAAAAGGGCATTTTAAAGGAAGAATGTGCGACTTTTTGATCCAGTAGAGGTCACCCTTGAGCTCCAGCATGAAACCAAAAACAAACTGCTCTGTGGCCACACCTCCACTATTCTGAAGCCTCCGGTCTCCTCCAGCAGCACACCTCCAACCCCTCTCCACTCACGTTCACATGAAGGAGTTATGAATAAGAACGCACCATTGTGAAAAGCACGATTAAGCGCAAACGTCGGACAAAATTGTCCTTTGCTCGAGCTGCGCTTCCCTGTGGCCTGCATTGTTGTGTTAGCATGCTAATGTTAGCACACTTTAGTTAGCTCATTTATTGAACATGAATTGAGACAGAATGACCGTGATCTAAACACACTTATGTGACATCCAAATAAGCAGTGAGTATGTTATTCTTCTTTTCTCTAGTCCTTGACTAAAACAGCATTATACACAAGGCCGTCCCGTCTATGTAAACACGATGTAAACATGGCTCTGACAACAACACAGCTGGAGGGACTCACTCTTCTCTATCATTGTAGATAGTTATGACTCATAGAGACACTTACACAGGATATTCTGGATTTCTGCTCTTACTGTAATATAAGACCTAATAGGGCTTCCGGGCCTTACGCAGGCTGCCTCAAGTGGACACTCGAGAAACTGAAGTTTTTTTTTTTAACTTCACCATTGGCTTAATTTTTCAACACTAGACGTTGCTGCCTGGTTCTGTTCTATATTTGTAATTTTTCAAGACTTTATGAGTCACTGAGTTGAAAAGCCTCAGCCTGATTACCTCGTTTGCGGCCTTAAATACCCTTTAATGCTGATAGCTTAGCTCAAACTGGTGGCTTCACAAAGTACCAAGCTCCTGTTGTGAAATCCCAATTTATTATTGAAAGCAGTCTGTGGATATTGAGCCTCGGGGCATCTCACTCACGCTGAGTCTGGAGCGATTTAATCGAACTGGACTCGTTTATTCCTGGTACACAGTGTTTGGGTTGGTGAGAATAATCAAAGCAAAATGTAGTGTGAACCAATATGCTGCTCACTGGAGGAAAAGAGGCTGAAGAACACGTTTCTTTTCCCCATGCAAAGGGAGAAAAAAGCTAACCTAACCAGAGAGTTTGTTTTTTGTCTTTTCGATACATGAAACCAAAATCATCTCACGTGATGTTTGCAGAAAAAGCAGTTTTCATTTTCCCCAAACAACAAACTGAACGAGAGACTTGGATAGAAACCGGGAGCATGCAGCTTTCAAAAAACAAAAAACCCAGACAGTGTAATGACTCATCTGTCCACCAGAGGGCGGTGTTCCCTTACAGATGATAGCTTTTTTGTCTCTCTCTCTCTCTCTCTCTAGTCAAGATGCTCTGATTCCTCTGTTCACATAAAAAAAAAAAAGACGGCTCGTCTGTTGAAGAATTGAGACAAAGAAGAGATTCTCATCACGTCACCATTGCAGCTGCTCCGACAGACGGAGCTCCTCTGCAAAAACACAAGAGAATGCAATAAAAAACGTCAGGTGGAGGCTGACGTTCAGTGAATCAGAATAAACTATGTTCTTCATTATGCAGAAGAAGGTTTCTTAAGGTGAATGTGTTTGGGCATCACTTTTTATTTGACTTTAGTCATCCAACATGTGCAGAATCTTCATAAACAACCACATGTCACTTTGTTTTCATGTACGGTCTTTATATCAGTCAGTAAATTAAGAAATAGATTCATAAAACAAAAATCTCCAGCCTCTTTCTTTGATTATTTGCTGCATTTTTCTGTTTTCTTTGTTGTAATCTGTCAGTCGGAAACCTTGACTATGAGACACTGAGGAGTGCTGCTCTTGACCATTTGATACACAACACTGATTCATTCATAAAACTAAGGTTCAGTGATCAGTACTGGTTGTTGTAGTTCTTTAGTGATGCTTTGGACAGTACATGCATAAATGAAAAGGTATTAAACGTGACAATAAGCATGAAACAATCAGCTTTGTGTCCAAATCAAGGTGTTGAAAACAGTGAGTACAGATAAAATCTAGTATCATTATATCTACATTTTGATATCTCAGCTGATGATGTCACCACTGCAACACGTACACCTGAACAGAAAATCAGCAGCATTGCAAACTGATTTTCAAATATGTACACTTAAAACATTTAGATAAGGGGTTTTCTATCATTTAAAATGTGAAAACAAGAAGTAATCTGACATCTTATACTGTGAAATGAAAATGTAGATTAATATGTAATATTGTCTTTGATTGACAAACAAGGTATCATAGACTGAGTTTCTTAATTACCTCAAATATTTATGTCATGCACTCCTCTCCTGTTCAGACATGTCATGTTTCTTATCAGCCGTCTTGTTGATATGATAAATATCTTGTTGAACAGCTGATATCAGCTGCAGTTTTGTCTGCTGGGTTCTCGTTAAGAGACACTGACGATGATGTTTATGAGAGATTTTTAAAAGCTTTAATGTGTGGTTGAGTTTTTCCTTTCTTACATCATCAAGTTTAGCAGCAGTCTCAGAGATGTTCTGCCTGATTTCACATCTTAAACATGAACCTGAAAACCTTTACTATTCCACAGTTTAATTGTTACCTAAGGCTTCGTTAATAATCCTGTACCCTTAAGAGTGACCACATCTCTCCCCTGTGTGTGTGCGTGTGTGTGTGTGTCTGTTTGTGTGTGTGTGTGTCTTCAGTCTGTAGAAGCTGTCTAGTGAAGTATCTGGAGGAAAACAACACGTGCCCCACGTGTAGGATTGTTATTCATCAGAGCCATCCACTGCAGTACATCGGGTAAGTGAGGGAGCCGCTGCAGAACACAGACAGACACACACACACACACACACACACACACACACACACACACACACACACACACACACACACACACACACACACACACACACACACACACTCTGTTGTTTGTCAGAGGTCCATCAGTGAGCAGGGAGCTGCTGGCTGCCACTGGGAGCATCAGCAGAGCTCTGACAGTAAAGAATAAACTATCCAGTAACAAAGTGCTGCCGGTCTTTCTGTGGTTTATATTTTTGTTCTTCTGCTGGGAAAAAAAGCCCCAAACATCTGCTGGGGGGGGGGGGTCTGTACTACTGTGTGTTTAAATAAGGAAACAGACGTTAAAAATATTTTTGTAGTCAAACAGATAATGCAGCTTTGACTCCCCACTTATAAAGAGGATGTTCATAAAATATTTGGCTGTCAGTTTCATCCCATATCTTTGTTCTATATGACTATATGGCTGCTAATCAGTCATTCCTAAAAAAAAAAAAAAATGTGCACCCAATGATAAATATTGTTACCTAGGTGCTCCAGATCACGTCATTGGATAAATATGTGTGTGTACTTTCATGAGGTCTTCATGAGCCATCTAATTATGAGAGGAGAGAAGCAAAGGAATTGTATATTAAAATCCCACACTTATTCATCATGATATTTGTTTTACACGTAACAAACTTTTTAATCCTGAAAATCACCTGTTGTTTTTTTTTTTACACTGTGTCTTTTAAAGGGAAAAAGTAAGAACATATATCTGTTTATAAAGCTGCTATATAAATATACAGTAATGATTATAATTTATGGTAACACAAAAATTAACACACATGTTTTTAAACTAAAGTTCACTTTCGACCACATGAAGTTTTCTCACCTCTTCCTGTAGTAACTGAAAATATACAATAAACAATGCTGTAGATGATCAAAAGATCTGCATCAAAATAACATTTACTTAACCTGCCAGTGGAGCCAATACAAAAACAGGTTTCTTAAAGAAAATAACTAAATTTGACACAGACACATGTTGCATAAAAGTTCCTGTAGATTTGCACTTTCTCTTTTCAATCATTGATTACTTCCTTTGAAAACGAAGCAGTAGTAGAAGGAGTTAGATTTTTTTAAAGTCAACTTCTCTTCTTATTGTTTAAAGAAGTTCTCTCTGCCAGACTGAATCCCCTTGTTGTTGTTCCTCCCCTCGGTGCACTCATGCTTTAATGTCTTATTAATGCGCCGCCCAAACTTAATGTGGAGCAGCTATTTAGTCATTAGCGTCTCTAAACTGTGCTGCCTGCGCGCTCATTGTTTGGCAGGAAAGGCTCCATTTCAAACACATTAGCTCCGCACACAGCAGCTGCTTTTTTTGCCTCATTGTTTGCAGGAAATTGAAGTCGATGGAAAACATCACAGTTGATTTGAAGGGAAGACAGCCCACAGACGACACATTAACTCGTCTTCCCTTCAGGAAGATTGATCAAAGTTGATGCTTGAGACTGAACTCAAATCAAGTCCGAGGCGTCTCCTGAAAGAGAATTGACTCAGCAGAACTAATCGTTCCTTTTGTACTGTCGAGTGTGGATTTAGTTGATGGATTTAATCCAATTTTTTACTTGAAAGAACTCTGCTTATGACAAGAAAACCAACACAGCATCATATTTAGTGGTGTTGCCTGCAGACAGCCTGAACACTAGAGTATGTGTTAGTCACAGTAAAGATGAAGGATGAAAGATACAGCACCTGGGAGTTAATCTGTGCATCAACTCAGGAATTTAGATTATACTTTAGCTTGCTGTGAAATGTATAAACAGACTTTCTTGTCAACATTTCCTACAGCATGAGAAATAACCATAACCTCCATGATTTTCTGATTCTTTATTTATATTTCAGGTTATTTACTTTTGTTTTTTTTGCAGTTTAGTTGATTTGATCTTCTAGAGATTCTAAAGAAAAGGTTTTGCACTCATAAGGAAACATCTGTCAACAGTGTGATGAATATAAACTGATGTGAATGTAATTGAATTGTCTTTCAAGACACCAAAACGTATTCCAGTTCAACACTATTCTTTCTCTCTGGCCTCTCTGTGTGTTCTGAAACACCATCATTACATCCCTTAGTCAAGACAAATATGTTTTGCACATTGGATTCATTCCTCCATTAAAGCTTTACAGACTTTGATGTAAACTCTAAGGCAACATTGGCGGTTTATCTTAATTAAAGCTGAGCGTGTTTGTGTGGCTTTTGTTGATTTCAGTTGCTGTTAAGACATCCCATCTCTGCTGTGATAAATACCTCCTCTGTCCAGCAGGGGTCAGTGTTTTACTGCACTGTGCAGCTTATTACAATTATCAAACAGTTCAATGAAAAAAGGGGTGACATATTTTCCTCACGTTGTCCTTAATCATAGTGAAACAAAGTAAACATGTTGTGAGTCGTGACTGTAAGCTGACTAGTTGTAAAACAACAACAACATTGTGATGGCAGACCTGAGCAGCACACACGCTGCGCCTGCTTCACCCACAAAGCCTCACAGTGAAAGAGTGTTAAACACTCGGACAGACTGAGCATATGCGGGATCCATACATGTGAGGTTTAGAAACACAAATATTAAGCCGGGAGGTCATTCTAATAGCTCTGCCAAGATCTGTGGTGCAGATATTGCCTCCAAACTATTTTTGAGTGCGCTATTATTTAATTGTAAGCCTCATTTAGTTGTATTTCCCTCAGGGGCGTGCTCATAGCTCACCTGTTGGAGCGTTCATCCTGTGTACCAAGGCTGAGTCCTTCCCACGGCAGCCCGGGTTGAATTCAAACTCAGGCCCTTTTTCAACAAGTTTTCTCTTTCTTCTTTGTATTATCCGTCTCTCATCTGCTTTTCAACTGAATTAAAAAAAAAAGAACGAGTGGTTTTTAAAGTAAAATGGACACAGGATACATGTGTCTAAAAAGACTTGAGTGTTTCTTCTCAGGCGGCTTTACTTGAACCCCCTTTGGAGATCTGAGTGGGTAAAGTAATTTGAGTGAGAAACCAGGGAATGAATGACATGCAGGAACAGAACCACAGGCCAGACTCAGACCAAGGTCGCTCACTTGGAGGTACTTGGCCTCCGTACATGGGGGCGTGACCTAACCGCTAGGCCATCTGCGCCTCTAGATTTGCATCTTTTTAAGGTTATGAAGTTAAGCCAAAGACTAGAAATCAAAGAAATGGCTTTTAGATCTTTAGAGCCACCAAATAGATAACATTTATAAAAAGAATGATCGTTTCAAACAGACGTCAGCAACATCTGCAGGAGTTTTTTTATTTTTTATTTTTTATTTTTTTACATTTTAGACCAACCATGAATAGACAGATGAAGGTACATAATCTATTTCTCTACTTTTCTCTTTTTCAGCCATGACAGAACAATGCAAGACATTGTCTACAAATTGGTACCGGGACTACAAGAGGGTAAGTACCGTATATAATCTTTCTCCTGGATTCAAACAGTTTATCTTCAACTGAAAACATCTGATGCACCACTGAGTTTATCTTCTGAGATTTTTTTATACAAAAGTCTTGCTGGCCTTGACAAACCGAGTGGAGCATCTCTCAGTGCACAAACAAAAACTTATCCCACACACGGTTGAATTTGAAGCTCCGGTGACATCAGTGACCTTGAGAATAAAACACTGTCCTCTCCTTTCTCCTCGTGTTGTGCAGCGGAGATAAAGAAGCAGAGAGATTTCTATCAGAAGTTGGGGATGGAGGTGCCAGGAGACATTAAAGGAGAACTTTGCAACATGAAGACTCATCTAGATCAGCGGAATGGTAAGATCATTTTCCTCACACGCTCCTTTTGATCTGTTTTTTTTTTTATACACACTTAAGAGGATGTACAGTTTAGTTTTTGTTTCATTCCTCACAAACTCTCCTGTTAAAATCCAATACAGCACCCTCTTTGTTTTAGTGGCTTGGTTGACCTTGACCTTTTGGTAGTACTTCACAGACGTGGAGGTCACAGCACGCCAAAAGGTGTTCTTGACCTTCATGATGTGATGAGAGTAATGTGTTGATGTTCCTCCAAGTGGCAGTAGAGATCAATAAATACATTCAAGAATACGTTTAAAGAAAACACTCCCGACAACATACAACCCAAGTGACGGATGGTTTACAGAAAAGCTAATGTACTGAGTTAAAAACACATTTGAACATACTGAAGCATGAACATGTAATAAAACCACCTTACATTAGTGTGAGTGTGGGTTTAAAGCAGATAAAAGGAAATAAAGGGTACATGTTGGGCCCTGATTTAGATTATAAACAAAGCTGTAAAAAAGACCCTTAAGAATGAAGCAGTGAGATCATTAAGGAGAGATCAAAACAATACAAAGTGGCTAGATGCTACAAATCAAGATACGAGGAATGAACTTTAACTTTAACTTTATTGTCTCCATGGGGGAAATTTGTTTTGCAGCCAGTTAAAAACATGAACCGCATACAAAACACAGGAACACAGGCTCAGACATTAAATATACCATAAATACTACATCAGTCATGTTGCCAAGAGAATATAAATCCATCGATAAAACCAAAATGTAATCTTATGTTGAAAGATGTTCAGATAATAATAAAAACCTCAGACTGACTGATAGCTGATTAGCCTTCCACATGCACTTTGTCTGAAGTGATGCTTCACTTTGATTGCTTACCATGGGACGTCTGTCACACGTTTGCCCTGTTTTGATGTTAGCTATGAATGCTGATCAAACGGCCGTCAAGAAATGGTCAGGTAGACACATACCTAGCATAAGTCAGGGTTAGCCGATACGTGAAAGCTGCGTCTGTTGAGAGTGTGATCATTACAATTACATGTAGAAACGATATTACGGTAAAAACCGTCATTATAGTGTCGGACTTTGTTCTGTTGTCTGGAGTCTTGGAGCCTTTTTCTCATGTCTGGTCTCCTGAGACCCTGCTCCCCCCCTTTTCCTCTCCACTGAGAAGGAGGGGGTTCGTTGCATGCTTACACATACAGTATAGGTGGTGTGTGAACAAGTAAATCAGAAAGATTTCAGAGGAAGGCTGTCTTAAAATTTTCTAGACTTTTTTTTTAATGGCGCAAAAGAGATGCAGCTAAGCTTGAAATACAAAGATCCAGTTATTATCTGAAGAGGAACAACAAGACCTTCAAAGACAAGTCATTTCTCTTTGTGTGCAGTTTAACGGCCGAGTTTATTTGTAAGAAACAAAAACACTATAGGCCAGCTTCAATAGCCCTGCTGGGGGAATCTTGAAACACAAGTGTCCATGACTTGGCACGGCTCTGCACGACTAAAGCAGGCTAAATATTACATTTGGAAAAAATTGTCTGTTTCTACTTTTTGGACCAAACACTTAAAAGATGGTGTCACTAACTCCTCAGCGGTGTCAGTGTCTTTCTTCTGATTGTGCTATTTAAGGAATGAAACTCCTCGACTCATAATAAGTGACATTAGATGCACGGCCACGAGTAACAGCGGAAGCCATTAAGCAGCAGAAATGAAGGCAATTTGGCCAATCCGAATGAGTCCCCGGCCTACTTGTTGTGCACGACGTCTTTTCAGTAGCAGCCTGCTTCCACAGTGCTGGTGTAAATGTGTGCCCAGAGGGCTGTCACGCTGGCAGGCCTAATCGCTCGCTTAATCCCCCTCTCTCTCTGATTTTGGTAATTAAGGCTCAAATGGAAGTGGAAGTGCTCTCTGGCTTCCTGTGCCTCGACGCTCGAAGACAGGTTTAGCTACAGCCAGCACACACACAAACACAAGTACACATACATGTTCAAACTCACACTTTTGTAAGGATCATTTGCACAGGCGTCAACAGAAATAGAAACCTGGCTGCTTTGCATAATCATTCCTCATCAGTTTGCTGAAAAACCCGTCTGTAGCTGTGGATAGGGATGTAATGTTTTTGGCTTTTGACACACAAGAAAAACCTTAAAAAATCAATGTGGTTGCATTTTATTTCGAGGCTCATTGACCAGAGAGTTTTCTCTCTTGGATCAATTGTTTTGTATTTTTGAAGCTTCTTTTTATACCAGCATGTTGACAGATTTCCCCTCTGTACTGATAACTGAATTATGGGAGTTATGTTAATTATGAAAGCAGTTGTCAAACTCGAGTGCAGTTGAGAAAGTAATTTGATTGTCTGATCTACTTCCTGCTCCAAACAGAGAGCTACATGTCTCTTAGATGATGGTAACGGGACATGTTCAGCCTATCTCAACCTGTACATTTCCCTATCAGTGTGGATACAGAATATTCTTCTGTGTGCCTTCCATCATGAAAACAAAGTTATAAGACAGGCCATCCACTCAGACATCTCTGGATCTTTTTTTCCCAAGGGCAGGATTCAGATAGTTGGAGACAGGGGCGGATCCTCAGGATTGCAGAGGTGGCCTGGGCCCCCCCTTGAAATCTGATTGGCCACCCCTGGTTAAAGTAGATATAATTAGAGGAGATGGATTGGATAAATACATGTGTGTGAGTGTGCACACAAACTTCATGCGACCCATGCACAAGTCAACGAAGTAAAAAAATGTCGGTAATCAAAGTCCCTGGGGTTTTTATTTTTGAAAAATGTTCTTCATACTTGGTGATGCTTAGTAAGTACCATCAAAGTTTTGATTAAGTTACAGAGAGTTTTGGTTTTCTTTTTGGGTATAATATGTTCTACAAAACCGATTTGACATAGGAAGGATAGGTTGTGAGTTTTCTTTTTAGTTGGTATTTTGTGCAGCCAGGAAGCTTTCGAGTTGCGTCAATCCAAACCGACAATTTAGTCCACTCAAAGAAATGGGAACATCATAATAAATCCATGGTCAAAGCTGAAAACATGTTTCAAAGTTCAGCGTGAGCTAAAGCGATACCGGTACGGCCTCCCAACAAAAGGGCTCAAGGCTCAAAATGTGGAGACGGCAACTTATGAAAGGAAGGATACCAAACAAGGTTGTCCAACAATTGTCCCCCAAGCTTTTTATAATTTTCAAATGGAGGAAAACAGATCAATGAAAACAAAGGGGACTGGAGACCCTGACCTCTAACCCAAAATGATGAAAAGATGGGAAGGTGCTGGGACCAAACAGGCAATGGACCATTGCACCCAGCGCCTCCCATTCTACCAATCCAACCAACAAAACTAAGCTAACTAACAAAAGATCAGAAACAGGACTACCAGAAGTCTCCAGCTTGTTCTAAAACAACAAACTGAAATACAAACAGGTCTCACACACTTAAGAACATTTCTAATCTTTGTAATTCGAGGGTCCGAGACTTGTTTTAAATGCTCATTGTCTGACAAGAAACTTAGAAGATACACAGCCTTATAGTTGCTGCTGTTGTTTATTGTGAACGGGAAGTTTTCCTTACAAGAGCAAAACACATTCAGTTGTTTCAAAAATCATCGGGCAGAATTTGCATATCCAGTGACACCACAGGGCTTTAAAGGAACTTTAAAGAAAAAACATACCCAGACTCTGGCATGTTTACGTCCTTTTTTCCCCTCTCCACTCTTGAGAAAAAAGATGCTCCTCCATTAGCTTTCATGTAAGAATGAGAATCCAAAGTGAACACACGGTAAAGCAGAGATCACACAATGCTAACTTCAGGCGACATTTGGGCGCTCTGTTAATGTTGCCCCTGCCAGCCATGCTGAACTACATTACACTTAATTAAAGGCTCATTTATACTGAATCCCTTTAGAAATTAAAACTTTCTCCTGGGTCGTCTCTCACCAGCTGAGTTAAATGAATCTTCCTCTGGCATAGAAGACAGAGGAGGACTTCTTAATTCCTCAGAGCTGAATCCAGGGACAGAAATGTTAATGCTGGTGACATTAAGTCCAATGAAAAAGGCAACTTTTTACTTGTAGAAGTAAAATAATTGGATTTCTCTCCCTCTGAAGTCCTTTTAAATCTTCAGTGCATATAGTAGAACTGATGCTTTTGAGTTAAAAAAAGGAAAATGCACATCAGAACGAAATCTGCTCTTCTATTTCCCAGCAGTGATGCATTTTGACTTTTCACAACACGAGGAATGATTTATCACATTTTGTCTGACATATAACTGTAGACCACTTGCGCTGTTTGTAAAGTGTGCACGCCGTTAGCGTGTGTTGTACTTAACCGAGTTTAAAACACTTAATTCATTCACCATTTAAACTTCATCGTCAGAAGAAGCGTATTTAGCAATTTAAAGAACGACTGACCATGTTATTCAATGGGCCAGAACTGAAGGACTTTTTTAAGATGATTTAAAATGTTTTGAAGGGCATTGCCTTTGGTTACCGTTATACACATTATAATTACTTTCTGCCTTTTGAAAAGCTGCAAGTTTCATATTTATTTCTAAAGAAAAGTCCACACCAAGGATAAGGGTGTTAAAAACCAAAGAGGTCAGCTGAAGTGAAACATTAAGAGTAGGAATACCAAAATATTCAGCTTCAGGAGAGACTATTAACTGAATATAAAGACGGATGTTGGGTCTAACCCGATCCCACTGTAGAAAATTGAAGACAAAATATCCCTGTTAAAGGCGCTTACATGAGGCATGATGGAGCCAGAGTCTTTGCATTGAGAGCGGCTGGTGGAGCCGATGTATTTCAGTCCGGTTTATTCTTCCAAACCTAAACAAACATTATCTTACCAATTAAACAGCAAACACAAGAGCGCTAGGTGAGTCAGTTTATAGCAAACGCTCACAATTATGAGAATTTAATGACTCTTGTGTTAGTGTACTCTCTACTCCGCTCTGCTAATCTGGTGCACTAAATTCAACAGGAGCTGTCAATCATGGAGTTATAACCCTCTTCATAGCAACAATTACCGAAGTAAAACTACGCTTCACAGAAAACCTGACACGCAGACATAAATAATCATGACAAGAAGTAACTATAATGACAGAAACCATGTTTGAGAAACATTTTGTTTAATGTGTATTTTGTTTTAGAGTTTGGCCCTCTTCCCATCTGTCAACATGGAGGGGGTGGGCATTATGACCTCTACGACAACCAACCAGCCAGCAGGGGGAGCGCCAAATGTTTTGGCGTTCACTTCTGGGGAGCTGTCATGTCACAAACCTTTTCAAATAGACTTTGGGAAAGACTTGACAGTTTCTGTTACTGACTCTGATGACTGGCCCGGCCAAAATGAGCAAAATAATCAGCATAATGTGATATTTGAAAAAAATCACAAAAAAACCCCCAAAAAACCCATTCATTTCACTCTTTCACTATATTTCACTCTCTGGGAGTCTGCAGATAACCATTACCGTGATAAAAGGGACAGAAACCAATGTTGTTGTTTTTTCTATAAAATGTGCACAGAACTTTTTTTTTTTTTTTTGAAAAATACTTAATAAATTAGCAAAACAAAAAGGTTGTTTCTCCCATTTTTATAAATTGCCTATTCCTGAGCACTAAAAGCAAAACAATGGAGGGATATGCTGTAATGAGTCACTTTCCTCTGACACAATAATATATAAACTCCAACACACATGGTTAGTTTACTCCATCTTATTCCCAAAGTAGCTTCAGTGTAAACCCCTTTGTGGTCTGTTAGAGATTACAAAGAAAGACACTCTTGGACAGACAGACTGCTCACTTTTTAAAATCCCCAGACCAAAGCAATCACCCCTTTCCCTCAAACACAAGCTTGATCTTTATGTCTGTTTGGAGTTGCTTAGATACTTCAGGGTCGTTTGAAAGTGGAACACAACAATAAAAATAAGCCCGTCTTGATAAGCAATCAGCGAGTGTGACTCAGGAGACGGTCGCCACAGAGACACCAGAACAAGCTCAGACCTTCCCTGGTAATACTCAGGGGAAATGTTGACAGTTAACCTGAAAGAAAATGGTCACAGAGAGGTGAACGCAATCCTGTCTGCAATCTGAGCTGAAGTCAACTGTACTGAAACACACACTCAAACGCACACGAACATGCAGTGTTATTTCATCCAGTATATCCAGGAAGAAAAGACCCATTTCCTTTTATTTTTAAAAGGTTACAGAAAAGCAATACCTATCTGTGTGGTAATACTGTCTCAGCATGGCAATATTATTCTCTGATAACTGAGTTTTGTATCTAAGAATCCAATCCTGCTGTAGAATCACTGGAAACAAGTGAAAACAATAAAGAAATGTATAACATCGGCTGTCCTGGACAACTAAGAAGCCGCTTCTTTACACAGATTTTAAGATCTCGAGTGTATGAATGCATTTAGTCTCTGCTGTGAGAGAGCACGACACTGTGGAAATGTAAACATTTATTTGTTGCAGCTTTGAATGTCTCTCTCTCTTTCTCTCTCTCTCTCTCTCCCTCTCTCTCCTAAAATCCTGCATTGATAGCAATTATCTTAAAATCCTGCGCTGATAATCTAGTGGTCGCGTGCCCAATGTATGGAGGCTGAACTCTTCACAGCGGCCTTGGGTTCAAATCTGACCTCAGCCCTTTGCTGCAAGTAGTCCCCCGCTCTCTCCTCCTAGTGTTTCCCGTCTGTCTTCGGCTGTCCTGTCTAATGAAGACAGCAAAAATGCCTTGAAATAACAACAGCCACAGTCGCTGGTTGAGTTGTCTTACTTTGGAGCCCCTGTGTTACAGACGATCACTGTGTTTCCCTCTGCCTCTGCAGCTCTGAGTGACAGATGGCCTCAGTCATGAGCGGTACACACACTATACAGACAATCGACTGTTCGGCCCTTATATTTACATTTAAAAGTCTAGATCCCTCATGTAAGACGACCCCACTGTTATCTAGTGAAATCAGGGATAAACACCCCTTTCTATAATTTGACCTGAACAGTATTCTGATGATAAGTGGTCCATGTAAACATAACAAGTGTAAGGAGAAAAATATGTGTTTAAAGTTTGTGCATAAATGTATCTTTACATTTAGCTCTGCTGCAGAGGGAACCAGACCTTTATTTTAAATAGAAATGAAGTGAAATAATGTGACTGTGTGATTCAGGCTTCCTGCAGCTCCAGACCGAAAGATCTATGAGGTGTTTTATTAAACAGTACCGTTCCTTTCTTGCTTCACACGTAACAGCACACACTGTGAATAAAGTCTCTCTTTTTACCGTCTGCTCGCTGGAGATGCTGCTCTCTAATTCCCTCTTCTATCTGCTTCCATTTCCCTGAAAAAGGCACAAACTGCACAAACTCAATTAAGGTGCAGTTGATTCCAGGCCTCATGTCAGCTAATCATAATGGGGACGGGCTGCGATTTTTTTTTTTTTTTTCTTCCCCTCGTTAGAAGTCACCGTGTATGGGAGACGTGCCCAGACAGCGGATAAGTTGTATAAAGGATGCTCTGACACCCTCGGACATGTAATTGCTTTATAAACGGACCTCTGCAGGAGGCGTTTAATGCTCCAGCAGGCAGAGGCTGTGTAAAGTCTGCAAGGAGACAAACATGCCTGTTTCCCTCCGCTTCTGTCTTGTTGTCAACTTTGACATCAAGCTCAAGTCTCTTTACTTAAGTTCATGAGGAAGATAAGAGAAGCATGCTGCTTCATTACTGATCGGCTGAAGCTAGAGTAGAAACATGCAGACGCAGATTTAGACCGGACACTAAAGAAATGTTAGTGGTCTAACATCTGTCGAGCAAAAATGTGTTATTATACGTAAGACAGCAGCTCAGTGCTCTTCTTCTCTTTGTGTTTTCTGCACAGGCGAAACAAAATCAGAGGAAACGGCCAACAAGGAGGCAGGAGAGGAGAAACCTGAAGAGGACAACGACTATCACCGTAGCGACGAGCAGGTAAGCCCCCCCCAGGATTGACAACACATGGTTTTTGAGTTCTTTAAAGCTGTTATCACACACGTACCCAGTTATCCCCAGTTCATTGAGCAGACATAACGATATAGTTTATGGATATGATTCGAAAGACAGTAACATTTAAAGATGCTTGGTAAAACATGCTTCTGCCTTGCTTATCTTAAAGTCTGTAAAACCAAATCTACCAAACACTGACGCCTAACACTTCAAACAACTAATTTCTAAAACAAATCCCAGCCCTGTAGCATCACTCAATAAAATGACGATTAAAAAAAGAGCTGACTGGACCAGCTCTCTCCATCGGTGATGTCGTCTATGTAGAGCCTGATAGATGTCACCACTCCTTTTTCACACACTAACAAGAGCTCTCTTTGAGCACATATAGACCCAACCACCGAACTCGGAACGATTTTGTCTTTTCCTCTCTTTGAATATTTGTGAATTAAGACTTTTCTACGCAAAGCTATCGTACACAAACATTGGGATTGTGTCTATTAAGACAGAATAATCAAAGTAAGGGGACAATTATTAATCAGAAACGATGTGCATTGACTAAATACATGTTGAAGTACCGTAAGTGAGAACATGTGTAAAATGTTTTAATTTAGGTCAACCACTCCAGCTTTATCATTGACATGGAAACTTAAAAATCTCTACACACTGTTTTTCTCTTTAAGCAGAGATTAAAGGAAGTAAACTGGATAAAATAATTGTAGGTTACAAAGCAGACTGTCAGGAACAAAATCGCTAAAGGGAAAAATACGGTTGGTGATAATTGTGGGTACAATTGCCTTAAAAGCCTGCACATCAATTATTGCCTTTATTAAAGAGAACCCCCCCCTCCCGCCCCGTGTGATTTAGCAGGCTGTTGTGCAGTCACCGGCTTCTTTTGTCTTTACTGTTATGGCTTTTTGATTTGTAAAGACAGCACGGCACCACACGTCTGCCATCAGCCGAATGCATTGAAAATGGAAATGGCCATTCTTCACTTGATTTGTATTCTGGCACAATCACAACCCCTGCAAGATGAAATTAATAATGCAGAGAGCAGAGTTATTGTTGTACCGGACAGAAACGCCCTGCCCTGCAATGATGCACATGATGAAACCTTTTTTTTTTTTTTAAATTCATGTTGCTCATCCTCTATTCATGGTAAACAAATGACACCAACTAAAATGGTGGCAAAACCAACGGAGACATTTTGAAAAACAAAGCCGATGGTCTCCAAGACAAGCAGTTCTCTTTGCTATGTAGGCAAGCAACGCTGCCACGAAGAGGCTGAAGATCTTGCCCTTTTGGATTTTTCAGCAGCAGTGCAGAAATGCTTTCTGAATAGCTAATACATCAGCCTGTGTGAGCTGAATGCAGTCATGTCAAATGTCACAGAGGAGGAGGACGAGGGAGGGAAAGAGCAGAGGAATACAAGATGAGGGATGAAAACCAGAGATTTACCAGATAGTGAGAGAAAAGAGCCCTGCTGATTTAAAAACGCCTCATCACCTGAGGTGTCAAAAAAAAAAAGATAGAATGATAATCCCAGGGATCAGTGATGGAGAAGTTGAAAAGGTGAGGTCTCTGGTGATTCCCACCCCTATTGAATAATGACCTATTTCAGGCATAAGGCTTCTCAAAATGAAACCACTGATGATGCTATGATCCTTCTCTTTTTTTAGTTTGCAATGCTTTAAGTTTGACTCTTATATATTTGGTAATCACATTCTAAATTCACCTTTCTAATAATGAATGCTTTTTATAATAACATTTTGCAATGTGTGTGGCACAGATGCAGATATTTCAAAGACAACCAAATTAAATGCTCTGATATATAATTAAGATAATACTTTATAAATCCCCAGAAGGGAAAATGTGGGGGCGTTGCAGCAGCAGCACAAAGACAATAGAAGCAAATATCAGGTCACACCTTGCACTCACAGGTCACTCCTGGCAGAAGGATGAGTGGTTTTCTTCTCTAATCACCATCATAGTCTTCTTGACTGGAGGATAAAAAAGGATTTGCTGCTGTGATAACTGTAGCGTCCTGAAATCCTTCCATTAACCTTTAGTTAAGTGTGTAAGAAAAGGTGGTTTGTGAAAGTGCAAACAGTTCCCATTTTGTTATTCTCTCCAAACTAATGCTGCAGTCTATCCCCAGAACAAAGAAACACTTTGCAAAAATCAAGTGGTGCCTAACCCTACTTGTTATCCCAGTAACAAGTAGGGTTAGGTGGTTAAAAAGTATGTTCCTATAGTGCTTGAGATACTTGTCCTAATAGCAGAGAGAGAGCACTGGGAATAAAACAGCAATTATGATTGTAGGGATACTTGACAAATCGAACAGGAAAGAAAATGTAATATGCAGTAGGAGTAGTGGCAACTAATTGGAATGAAGAAAAGGGAACATCTCCCCCCACCTTTTTTTTTGTACCAGGCTGTAAACATGTTTATTTATGCTGTAAAAACAGGCATTTTAACATGGGACCTTATGGAGGATTCATGGCCTTTTGGAGTTAACCTCAAGTGGTCACTCGAGGAACTGCCGTTCAATTCAGCATCGGCTTCATTTTGTAGCACTGAAGGTTGCTGCTTGAACAGAACCAGCAGTCAAGTGGGCTTGGTTGACTTTCGGGGCACTTTCCCTGATGTTTTGTGGACGACCTTTTAGAGTGTAACCTTGTGGAGCAAAGAAGTGCCAGAGAACCAACAACAGAGGGACCACAACAGAGCCACAATTAACCACAGAAACCAACTCTAAATGCAAAGCAGGAGAAAGTGGAGTTTCAGAGTTTTTAGATGTGGTATGAGTCAGGGTCACCTTCAGGCTCTTATCAATTATTGATGAGACCTCAGCAGGGTGAGGAAAGATTGTGTAAATTTAATAAACTCCCGCTATTTTGGGCCTAAAGAGTCTACTTCGGAGGAATTAGATATCGCAGCTTCGCCTCTGAATTATTAATCACTCCTTGTGTTCTCAAAGTCTGATTCATCCGAACTCAACACTCGCTCAGAGAGAGACTCAGCTTTTTTCTTTTACACAGAAAAAACATGCCGCCTTAAAAAACCCACAAAACCAGCAGATATGTTGCCTCAGACCTGAGAAAGCTTTCAGTAATGAGCCCATAAAAAAAGTGAAAAGCTTTCTCAGCGTGACATCAAAAACACACACACACACACACACGCATGATATTTTCTTGATGTGCCTCACTGTTGCATCAGTGAAAAGTGTGTGTGTGTGTGTGTGTAGCGGTTTCAGGCTCCGTAACGACGTTCCTAATGTTCTGTAATGCACTGAAAACTGCTGTCGAGCTGCCGTGGAGTCCACATCACCACTGAGGCTTTTATATCACATTATGAGCCTCCCTCATCGCCAGCTCCACTGGAAACTGAGATATTACGGTGTTTCTCTTTGCTTATAGCGGGGCAGGTGGTGCACTGAAGCGACGCCAATGTTTACTCAAGAACAGAGATGATTTCCAAGTTTAATCAGAAACCAGCGTAATGTTTGTCTCATAAGAGAGAGTGCGCGAGAGTGTGACAGAAGGACTCCCTCAAATAAAGAAGTACATGGCTTCTCTTCCCGTCTGTCTCTGATGTGTGGGGGCGAGAGCTCAGCGGCAGTAATACATTCTGACTCCTGCAACCATCAACTGCCAAAGCCACCCACCGTGTCACCCCAGGGGGGGGTGGGGGAACAAGAGCATAGGCCATTGGCAGTGACACCCGGGTCGCATGAAAGAAGCCAATATGCACGAACAGACACACAGAGAGACAATACTGGTTCAATGGGACGTGCTGCACAAGCAGAACTGTCAATCAGCACCAGGCTGCTATGATATCGGACGCATTTTATAATCCCAAAGTCGGTCCTCATGAAGAACGGGGAACATAAGTAGCTTGGATCATTTTTTGCCAATATACCGATTTAGCAGTGTTCGAAATACATCTCTTGTGTTAGCTGCGGACTCAAACTGGTTTCAACAGAAGCTGTGCGCCTGCTGTGTTCAGACTTTGTGATGTGGAAAAAAGACCAAAAGACAACAGCCAAGCTAGCACGCGAATGAAAGAACAACAACCTTGATCCCACAGACAAACAAAGATTTATAAAACTGATGGAAAATGAAGACAACCTGCTATTCAAAGATCCTATAAGTAATCATATGTTTGATTTAAGTTAAAGTTATTGAGTTGATAAAATTGGACGTGACCTCGGTGCATTTTGGTCCTAATAAGCCTGTGAAAACTACCATTAAACGCTGCTCACTGACGTGTCCTTGTTCTGTGTTTTCCTCCAACAGGTCAGCATCTGTTTGGAGTGCAACAGCAGCAAGCTCAGAGGTCTGAAGCGGAAGTGGATCCGCTGTTCAGCACAAGCCACAGTCCTCCACCTGAAGAAGTTCATCGCCAAAAAGCTTAATCTGACATCGTTTAATGAGGTACCTACAGATAATAACACGCTCCGTTAGACCGCAGAGCAGCCGGCTCAGAGAACACCACTGCCAGATCTGTCGTATTCTTAATGTAGTTTAAGTCACTTTACTGCAGAAATAACAGGATGTGATTGATTTCCTGCAGGTTGAGAACAGTCCTGTACATGTTGATGACCTTTAATCTAACAGTTTAGAACTGAAAAACATTATTCCATTGTTAGACGCATGAATTAACTCGCACAGTGCATCGGTCTTATTCATAAAAAATGGCTTTTAAATCGTAGAAAATCACCTGAGTTCATCCATTTTTCTTCATGGTGTGTTGAATCATGGTAGGACAATGATGAGAGTAATTAGAGAGACAGATTTGTTTGCCTTCTTCTGGAGTCCAAAATTATGTTTTTCTGCATTTTTGTGACTAAATGAGTGCAACTACAGATCACTGTTCTCATCCATTTTAATTCCAAAGCTTTACGATCGAAATGTACAACTGCATGTTTTCTTCCAAACTGGATTTGTAGCATTTTGAAACAAATCTTTTTTTTTTCTGGTTTCAACATGTTTGGCTCACCAGCTGGGCGTTGTGGGCTGTGTGTCTAAGAAAAGTTTAGTTTAATCACACTGAAGGTCAGTTTAGTCGACCTTTCTCTGCTGACTCATGAAACGACATTTAGTTTTTATTATATTTAGCCGAGAACAATCCTTTATGTCTAATTTGTCTTTTTATTGCCTTTAACACTCGCTCAGAGGACTGTGGGCGATCATTTGACAGATGGATTTTTAAGAATGCCATACATACCCATCATAGGCGCCTGTGTGTCTTATATTCTGTGATTTTTTGTCTTGTGTTACTTCTTCTCGCTGCTGCTGTCACAGAAATGCGTGGGTAGGCTTCATTATATCGCCGGCAAACAACTTTAGTGAGGTGTCCACTCTCCCCAGCCGCCATTGTTGTCCTTTCTGTTGACTATAAAAAGCTGTTGTTCAGACACATTCTGCTTTTAGCTGCAGAGCTTTACATCACTTCACTTTTTCACAGAACACAACAACCCATAGTTTCATACGCAAACCTGTGAGAGTTTCCATTGGGTATTGGTCGATTATCTTCTTAGCTAAGAACAAATCCCAGATACGAAAACGTCGGTGAATGGTTCAATCTTTGAAACTTCAGAGTTCGTGTTTAGGAGGAAATGTCTTCTGAAAAACATTTTTGTGAATTAGGTCCTAGTCTCTGTTAATCTGACGCCCATTTTCTCAATTAACAGATCCATTGTTTTGATCTTTAACATTTCAGGAATAAGTGAAAACTTTATTTAACAGTGTCCCGGAGTCAAAATGAAATTATTCAAATCTGTTTGTTTTCTGCTGCCTATAGCCAAAGGAAACGGAAGATCGTTAATTTACCTTAACATTGGACAAAAAAAACCCAACAACAACAAAAATTCAAATGGGAAATTTTGAGAGAAAGGTTTTAAGATTTAATAAGAACCTTATCAGAGCTGTGATGCATAACCTTGTTGATGTCAAGGAGAATAAGGATTTTAATTTTTTGTCGTTTAATCCTCAAACTTCTTTTATTCCACCACAAAAACATTTTTGTCTTCCAAGATGAAATCACAGCTCTTCACTCTGCCCTCTGGATCAGTTCAGTTTTTTTTGTTAATCCCACACCTGGACAGTTTCCCTCACTCTGTCAGTGCTGACTAGTGCTGCCCCGGTGTTTATGAATCAAGGAGACTTGCAGTGTGTGCCAGCAGGTGACGCTGTGGCAGTGTTTGATTACAGACTCCCCTCCCCTCTTATCGATCAGCACATGCAGATGTGAGGCCGTGCTCAGCAGAATATCAGTGTTGACTTCACAGGAGGAGCGCTGGATTTGGCGAGCTGGCCTCGTGTTCAGTTTTGAATTTTCTGTGTTTTCCCTGAAAAGCCCCGCTGTCGCTCAGGAGCCAGGGGCCACTTTATGACTCAAACAAGCTTCATTTTCAAGATACAGAGATGTAATAACTCAGACAGATGAGAGCAAGAGGGGGCAGCATGAAGGGAGTAGAAGTGTTGTTTCTGCATCAGAAGAAACAGTTCAGTCATCCTGTAAACCTCTCTGTAGGAAATGAGAGATCTATTCCCAGCATGATCAAAAGTTGAAGCACCCTTCTGTTTGACATTGTTCACTACTTAGCTCTTCTTGTTTTTCTCTAACAGCTGGACATTTTATGCAACGAGGAAATCTTGGGAAAGGACCACACTTTGAAATTTGTTGTTGTGACAAGATGGAGATTTAAGGTAACGCTTTCAAAAGACTATAAACTGTGAAACTTTAATTAATGGCTCAGGCTTTGATTCACTTCAGTCTATAAAAAGAGCCTGCTTTAATTGGGACAGGCGTCAATACAAGACAAGTTTTACGGTAATTCAAGTTTTATACTTAGGATTTGCTTACTTTTGGTCTTTAGAGTATCATTAATTGACTTTTATTATAAACTGTTAAAACATATTTATTCTTTAATTTTATTTTCCTTCTTTCATCATGTGCAGCAAAGCTTGGTTGGCATGGTTAGCTTAGCTTGGTTAGGCTAATTGATGTTTTTAGGAGATATATAGCAGTCAGCCTTTTAAGAGAGTTCTTCAAACTGCTGCTCCTGCTGAGTTTGTGTCTTTGTCTCTCTCTCTGCAGAAATCCCCCCTCCTGCTCCATTACAGACCCAAGATGGATCTGCTGTAGCGAAAACGGACTAAACGGTTGTTGTTGTGTTTCTTTTGGGCCAGGTGGCCGCAGACTGTGCCGAAACCTTTTTTTATTTATGCAAAGACGATCAACCAACCAACACCAAGCAAACTCCCGACGGTAAAAGTCAACACAAGCCAGCAACATCGGGATCTGACAGGGAGGGGGGTCGGATGGGGGGGATGAAAAACAACACAAACTGGCAACCTCCAGCACAGAAACTGCAACACTGGTTTGTTTTTAAGAACTCAAACAACCTTTTTTTTTTTTTTTTTTTTTTTTTTTTTTGAGTCCGCGACATCCTAGATATGTGAACAAAGAAAAAAAAAAAAAAGAACAAAAAAAATTTGGAGAGAAAGCATATATTTATACTTTTGTACAGAAGAGACACATGGAACCAAGACACTACTGGTGCTCTGTTTACACACAAACAAGATGTCGGGAATCACGTGACCGTCTTTTTCAGCTTCATGCAGATTTCCTCCTCCTGAGACGACGACCGCGAGGACAGGAGGACATTTTTCTATGAAAAAAAAAAGGTGTTTCTCTTTTTTTGTTTCCTTTTCACAACACTCAACTCGTCTTGGGAGCACAGAAAGTTTATGGAAAAGTTATATAACAGGCATCAATCTGAAGCTGTTTTATCAAGTCTCTGAATCCTGTTTTTTTTTTTATTCTTTTCATTTTGTCTCATTTTGATATTGGGTTCTTGATGATTGTCAATTGTGAATAGGCTTACAAATGTTTTGTGTAGTAATTTATGTTCTATATACCAATATTGTACATAAAATGTCATTACAGAGAGAGAGAGAGAGAGATTGAAAGAGAGACTTTAGACTGTTAAAAAAAAAAAAAAAGAGTGGATCCAAGAAGTGCTATCTATATTTTGGGCGATAAGAGGTGATAAATTAGGATTTTTAAAAGACAGACTGATTATCAGTATCAAAATATATAAAAGCATTTTTATGTTGTCTGGGAAAGACACAAAACAAATATATCAAATCCTCTGCCAGGTCGTGTGAACGTGGGCTCTTGATGTGTTGCGTTGCTCCAGTAGCATTATGAGAATTTAAGGCAGACAAGAAGAAAGCTTCCGATCCATCCTCCGTGCTCCTCATCTCACCTGCCTTCCAAGGAACACAGATACCTTTTTGTTTGTTGTTGTTTTGTTTTCTTCTTCTCCCTTTTTTTGACACCCAATATCAATCATTTCTGTCTTAACAATAACGCTACTTAAAACCCTCATGTTCCAAAATGCCTGCAAGACTTGTGCGTTTGAGAACTTCAGTAATTTTATTGATTTTAATCACACCGTGCACTCCTTTGCATCCATCCTCATGTCTCTGCAGTCTTTCAGCAGAACACCCGTACTCCCACCTGTTTACAGCTTTTAGGTTGAGCTCTCAGCATCAGTGTTGACGCCCTGCGCCCTCATACCATGCTTCCATCTATTGATATCCGACTGCAAAAGTCTCTCAACGCTGCAATAGAACATGTGCGTTGCAACTTTAGTCTCAATTGTGTTCAAATGCTCCTTCTTTCTAAATTCTGCTATTTAAACCTGAGTCCATATTGTGCCATTAAAAAAAAAGGAGCAGTATGGACATTTTCTGACCTGCAGAAATGTTAATTTCAGAACAAATAGTAGACTTTTCTCACCAGAGCTGGACTTCTCCTGTGTGAGGCTCCACAGCTGGCTGATTCTAAACTCATGAGTGGAGATTACTGACGGCACATGAATCTGTTTTTATGGGGTGTTTTTCAGTTACTTCTCACTGCCAGTTAGAGTTTCAAAACGTGTAAAGAGTTTCTGAAAGAGGAGAGGATTTTTATCCGTCTCAAAATCAGAGAATAACTTGGAACATTTTTTTTGCAGGATAGACTTCAAAAGACACAAATGTATCTTTTTTTTTTTTTTTTTTTTAAGGAAGTAACGTGCAAATTCAGGTTTCAAACAGGGACTGAGGGATTTTTTGAACCTTTTTTTAACAAAGTTCTGGATAAAAATGACTACTGTTTGGTCATTTGGTGCTCATAAACGTGTGTTTGTTAGTGCTGTAACTGTGTGATACAGCAAACCAATGTTTTTTGGTTTCTCAGCAAAATGTCTTAAACTCGCAACATTCAAAGCAAACTGTCTTTAACGTAAACCACAACTGGATCCCTGAACGCCTCGTCAGACCTCAAGTAGTATTACCTCACTGTTCTGCGACATTTATTTAACCCTCTGTATCGTACCTACCCATAACACGCTGTATGTTCCCCTGCAGGGTTTCTATCCATCCAACTTATGCATTTTAAAAAAACCTCACATAGAAGAACCTTTCTATAGGTGGGAAAAGACTCCAACTCCAGCATTTTGGTTTTTTGCAAAACATAATCTTTAAAACAAAGATGGAGAATCTGCTCTGAAAACTCGGACAAATGTTTAGGAACCCTGCACAATAAGGACCTATGACGTGTGTGTATCTGATGAACTTTTGAAAGCATACAGGTCTGTACCTAACCAGCTCAACCAAAACTCCTCCTGTGGTTTTTGGTAACAACTCTACATGTTTCAGTTCACTTCTCACCGTTTCTTCTAAGCTTCCTGCTCTTTACCAGCCTTTGTAAAAAGGGTCTTTGTTTTGGGTTTTGTGACATTTTAAGTATCAAGAAAAGTCTCAGTCTTTCAGCTTGTATTCAGAGTTAAATGGGATGAACAAATATTACAAATAGAATCAGCAGCACAAACTTTTAACAGACATTTTTCACTCTTTTTGAATCTTACAGCAGTTTTTTTGTGGCTGTAGTCTTTCTGTGAACGTTGTCAACCCTCACAACGTTGAGCAACTTCTTCAGGAGTATCAGACATAAGGTTGGGTTTGTTTCCTCAGATGGAACAAAATGGACTAAAATGGAGTGAGTGTCCCCTTAAAATGTAAAACGAAAACCCAAAACAACAAGCCCTACCCATTTTGATAACAACCCACAGGACTGATGTACCCATGTGCACTTTTATGTCTTTGTAAGTGCAGACTTGGTGTTTTAAAGGCTTATAATCAGGTATTTCATAGAGATAAGGTCACTGTCCCCCCCCCCCCCCCACAAGGTGCTATAAAATAACTGCAAACTGATTTTTTTTTCTACATTACTGTAACAGAACGGTGCATTCACTGCTGTGTGGGAATGACTGGCGTTGAATCAAAATGACTGGCGTTGAATCAAAGGTGACACATCAGTATGTGTTCATTTACTCCTGGTTTTTGTTGAACATGGTGGTGTTCACACTGCACCTTTTGTTGTCCTCTCGCATCAGAGTTTCCCTCGTCTGTGTTTCCGACGTCAGCTCTTTGATCTACAGATCTTTACTACAGTGTCAGATGAGCTCTTTGGGCTTTGTTTCCAGTTGTTACCTGCAGGTTTGATGCAACAGATCCCCTCCTATGCTAATAAACTCTGCAGTACACACAGGCTATTAAATGGGCAGCATTTGTACACAAACTACACACAAGCTGTGCTTCTTCACAACACACAACAGTCAAGTGATTCAAAGAAGTTAATCCCACTCTATCCTTAATAGTTCTGTCCCTATGCGAGGAGCAATCAGATGCTTATTTCACATTTTTAAAACCTGTTTTCTGCATGCAATTTACTACATGGATTCTGTGTTTGCTCGACCTAAACTTAACACTGTACCTGAATGCATCCAGTATAGACATATGAGCACAGAAGCTGCTCCTATGTCATCCTGCAGACATTGCTTAGCCTAAAAGTTACATGTTTCAGACTTAGGAAAGATGTTCTTTGGTACACAGCCCTGCAAAAAACATAATCATGTTATGTGCTCTTTTAGGAAAATTTGACTAATAATTAATGGATAATTCTTTTTTTTTGTAACAGTTAAACTAATCCCAATAATATCTTAATAAAATAATAATACTATTGCTGGTCATATAGATTCTAAATGATATTCATTAGATCACACCAGGTTTCAATTCGCCTCAGTCTTAGTTTACCACTGTGTTGGTTAAAGATCCAAAAAGCCTGTTGCATGTCCGTATATCATGTGCACATGTGTATTTTAACAGAAAATGTACAGATTGCATTCATACATATTTGACCTGTATGCTTATAATGACTAAAAATGTGCAACAGGCAACTCTTGCACTAAAGATTTCTATTAAAAAAAGCTGATCATGGTTTCAAACGTTCCCGTCGACCTCAGATTAAAAAGAAAACAGTGTTTTGTTTTGCGCTGTTTGCATCTATTTTACAACCTGTGTGTCTCTCTCTTCCCCCCCCCCCAAGTTACATCACACAGTAGAGAGAAGAAAAACACAAAACTCTGATGTGAGAAAGTTTGGATAACACAGAAAGCTGCAGTGTGAACAAAGCCTTTCATGTCTCTGAGAGCTGTGTGATGATTGGAGGAACCTGATGGGAAATGGTGCAGTGTTTGCCACAGTGACGGTCAGAAACTGTCTCTGTCGCTGGTGCTCTCTTATGGTGCTAACAACTCCCTGGTTTTAAATCTTCAAACTTCTTGGAGAAAGGTGGAGTCAGAGACAGAAAAAGCACTGTGTCGCAAAGTTCTCACGTCGCTGTTTTCACACGTCTTTGCACTGTTTGAGTCCTGGAGTTCCTTTTGCTTGTCTGAGCTGTGCAGATCAAGAACATGCCAGCTCCTGTTCTGTTTGTTATTGATTTGTCGGGTTTCGGTTAACCCACTTGCCTAGGCTTGTCATGGAAAGCAAACAGGGGGAGTTTTTAAATAAGACTGTGACGCACATGATGCTGTGAAAATAAAAATGAAAAAAAAAAACGGGTGAGAAATGGAATGCAAGCTGCAATCTCCTCCTGCCTCACACTTATTATTGGCTTCTCTGGTGAGACACTGTCACATTTTCTGAGCCTGATAGTTTCTCTGCAAGTGTGCAACATCCTTAACTAAAGAAAGTCTCCAAAGTTCTCCAGAGCTCTTGGAAGATTTGACCTTCAAAAGTCTATATGTGCCGGTTGCATTCTCCCACCTCCTTTGCACCAGAGTGGATCAATGTTGCCGCTTTATATATTGGGGCTAGCATTGAACCATCAGTGCTGCCACACTTGACAGACAAGCTAAGAGGCTTACAGGAGGCTCCAGTCTGCTTCGCTGCCGATACGGGATGGTATCAACTTGGAAAGGTCTGTGGCGTGAGGGGAGGCCTGGATCTTGAACACCTGTCGGCTTGTTCGTTATCTTGTGCGTGGATCTGTGTGCAGCTCAGGGGGTTGAGCTGAGTCGGTTTC